AAATAAATACTCATTTTACTTTTAACTCAACAACTATAGACTTCAATCAATGCAAAACTATCGTTAGAAATTTGACGATGAGCCGGTAAAAACTAGATGCAGACCAAACATGGCCGTCTTGTTTGGAGATGCAGGTATCCCCGTACTGAGCACCTTCTGTTGCATGATTCAGATAATAAAGAGAGCAATGAAAACAGTCACACAGTTGAGTTCACTCAGGGTTTTTTCTGCCACATGCTCACTGGTCTGCAGCACTGACATCGTACTGGAAAGACAGTTTATGAGACTAACTGGTGAGGTCTGACCAGTAGCTTATAGCGGCTAATGTAATAATTGCTCCACTGTAGACAGAGACTTCTGTGTGGCTGATCTTACTAAGTTCAGTGATTTTATGATTCCTGCTACACGTCAAGTAAACTGTGTGTGATATCATTTCCAGTCGAGGCCACAGAGACTGTGTTATGCACCACAGAATGGACAGCGAGACTACAGCGGTTGCTCTTTTGTAAAAGTCATAGTCCTGCTAATACAAAAAACTTATCGACTCTCTGAACTCAAAGATATTCCTGTTTTGTTTTGTTTTTCTTTGCTCCTGTCACATTTTTACTCATTTACTCATTTTTCACTGCAATATAAAGTCCTGCACCTCCATGGAAACAGCACAACTGTGGCTTTGTGCAGTATAAGAAAGCTATAATGCAATAAATCACAAAAAATTGAGGTGACAAAAGTGATTTTTCTGATCATTCATTTTGCAGAAAGGGAAAAAAAACCCACCATATTTTACCTCCTACACTTTTACAACAAAGACATTTCATCACGCTGTATGTATCTCCCAAAGATATGATGACAACTTGCTCCGCTCTGTGCCATTTTTGAGACATGCTGCATGCGTTTTATTGATCAAGTGTGTTTGGTTTTCCTCTCAGTCTTTTTAATTAGTTTCCACACTTGTCTCCTATCTGCTCTGTGTAAACACAGCCTGCAGTTTGCCCAAAAAAAAGAGGATTTTTTTCTGTCAAATCACTGTTGGTTGCAGCTGAGTCACTCACGGCTTCACAGCTGTGCCAATTTTTTTAAAAGACAACTTGTTTTCAAACCCACTGATGGGTTCTGGAGTTCACGGTGTTAACTTGAGCATTAGATTTTATTAATCAAACTTTTAAATTTGTGTTTTCCTGAAAGGCCTCACAGATATGCAACATCAGATCTGTTGACAGAGTAAAGCCCCTCGACTGAATGTTTAAAATATATAATACTGGTTTTATCTTTTCTTTTCCTCTCTGATATTTATTGGCTTTTCCTCATTTGGGGGCTGTTACCAGAGGTGTAAAATGTGAACACAATGATGTTGCATGTGCTGAATTTGTATACAAAAACTATGTCAATTTGACCACATGGTTTTTTTATAGTTACACAGACACAAATATAAACTGTGCCTGATTTGACACAATTCACCAGTTCCGATTGCCTTGTCAAGGTAGAAAATGAGCTGTCCCACACTTCACAGTGCTGCAAAAGTTCATGCCAAAGACAGACAGCACAAAATGAGCTCCAAAATAAAAAAAAAAACAAACAAAC